GAGTCGAATCCATCTCAAAATTCCTTTTGTAACTTTTACTTTTAGTAACTGATTGCAGCACAGCTGCTGTTCCATACCGTGGATCATCTGTGGGTGATCACATGGCCAACTAGGAATCAAAAGTTTCCTATCTCTCACCCTTCTACCCTTTTCTTCCCAAACCACGTTTCTGTTAGCCAAGGCTATTCTAGCAAATCCTACTCCTCTGATACCAGTTCTGTAGAAAAACTGTTTTTCCTCTGCTCTCACATTGCAACAATTAGCACAAAAGACTTCTGCGACATCTGGTCACCAAGAAGTATGTGGAGATTTCTCCTCACCAATAATCAATTAGTGAATCAATTCTGCAGCAGATTCTTCAGGGGACACCAGCTGAGTGTCTCTAATTCAGTTCCATTCTGACACTGGCTACGTGGAGGTAGCATCAGATCCCACAGGTTGATGCCTCAGTCTTGCAAGACTGCCCTCAACTTTCAGTGCCAATCACAAGCCCCAGGTGTGACCCATGCTTCTGACCAGCTATAAATGGGGGTTCCCACAGTCCCTCCTTGGGTTCAGTTAATTTGCTAGAGTGGCTTACAGAACTTAGGGAAACATCTTTATGTTTACCCATTTATTATAAAGGATACTACAAAGGATGCAGATGAAGAGATGCTTCAGGCGAGGTGTGGGGGAAAGAGCTTCCATGCCTTTTCTGGGAGTGTCACCCTTCAGGAATCTCCATGTGTTCAGCTATCCAACAGCTCCCTGAACCTAGTCCTTTTGAGTTTTACGGATGCTTTATTACATAGGCATGATTGATTAAATCATTGGCCATTGGTGATCAACTTAACCTTCGACCCGTCTCCCCTCCCCAGAGGTTGGGGAATGGTGGGGCTGAAATTCTAACCCTCTACTCCTGCCTTGGTCTTTCCAGTGACCAGTCCCAATTCTGAAGCTACTTAGGGGCTGCCAGCCACCAGTCAGCTCGTTAGCATACAAAAAAACTTTTAATCACTTTGGAGATTCTCAGGATTTTAGGAGCTATATGCCAGGAGATAGAGATGAAGTCAAATATATATTTCACAATATCACACCTAGTAAAGTGGCAGTTTTACCAAAACATTTTACTCAAAGGGTTTTCTGCCTTACACAGGAAAAATTAAACATCAAAATGGTGTTTTGTTGTTATATGGAGGTCCCAAGTAGTCTGAAATGCTCTGTTGGAATGGCAGCTGGGTTGAGGTCCTGGAAAGCTGCCCAGAGTGGTATGTTCCAAAAAAAAACTTACAGACCTTCTGTGTCCTTTATCCAGAGAATATATCCAAGATTGCTCCCATGCACTAAAATAAAGCCCATCATCATGTTAATTAGCTCCAAGTCTAGCTAGACCATTGTGTACTTTAGTGGAATGTTACCTATGGTGTTAAAGTATTTGGGAGATATTGGCACTGACTTTATTCCCCCTCTTAGGTCAAGGGTTCAGGTGAATTTGGATCCTTTGGAGCAGTTCAGAATATTCCTGTGGTTAGTGCTGTTGACCTAATATGAACCTGAGACCAAGTACACATAGCAGGGATTTGTTGAGCCAGTATGATGATTGCAACCAGGGAGACATATAGATCAGGTTGCCCTGAAAATGTTTTTCCAAAGAGGGCCAGCATATCTTAACATTTTATAATTACAAGAAGGGGGAAGGGTCAAAGGACAACAACACGCACACACACGACAGAGAGAGAGTCTCCCACCCCCCCAAAACGTCATCAGGCTTTGGTTGTACATGAAATATAGATTTGGGATTGTTACTAGGTAACTTCCTACGTGCAGGGATCTAGGGTAAGGGTAATAAGTGTTCTCAGTTATATTATGGCTTTCTGGCACCATTATGGTGAGAACAGATTCTTTTGGTTATCAGTGCTGTCATCCAAAGGGCCAGGTTCTGGCTCATCCAGGTTCTGACTCTACTAACTAGACCACTCTATATATTTTCTACTGTTTGCAAAACATAAACAAACCCAAGGCAGCTTATTAATTCATTAACTTTACGAAAGTTTTGTTGCACTCTCAAGTCTCATTATTGTAGATGATTTTTTATGAGGCTGAGGCTAAACTTATTTCATTTCATTTTACTTGTATCAAAATGAAAAACAACTTGCTCATATTGTTACATGTTGCGAGGCTCTATACTGGGTAAGATCTTTGGTGGAAAGTGTTACTTTAACTGGAACATACTCTGTGCCATAAGTTTGTCAGGAGGTGTTTCATGCATTCCAACAAAAATTTATAACTTTTTGTGGGTGGTATTGATATAATTGCTTAATAGTTGTTTCAAATGAATTTCTTCAGTTCTTAAAAATTCTTCCCTCCTGATTCTGATCTCACCTCTTGGGAATTCCTCTCAAGAATTCAACATGATTAACAGTTACTTTAAACTTACCAGCATTTGTGTATTTGCTTTTCAGTGTTTAAAGTGTGTACGTGTGTGTCTTTAGTCAGCAGCTTTGCAAAATAACTTATTACAGAAGCAGTATATGTGCATTGCAAAAAATTAGAAAATGCAAGGGGCCGGCCCGTGGTTCACTTGGGAGAGTGTGGTATTGATAACACCAAGGCGATGGGTTCAGATCCCTATATTGGGATGGCCAGTTAGCTCACTTGGGAGAGTGTGGTGCTGACAACACCAAGTCAAGGGTTAAGAACCCCTTACCCATCATCTTTAAAAAAAAAAAAAAAAAATTAGAAAATGCAAATACGCAAAAATTTGAAATTTGAAATGACAGTCTCTTTACCCAGAGGTGAAAACTGTTAACACCCTAGGGCATATACTTCCAGATTGTTTTTTCTGTATGTGCCTGTACATAAATACACACCACCCACAACCACACACACTTTTAACATAAATGGGATCATGTTATATATACTATTTTACAACCTGTTTCTTTAGGCAGTGACTTACCTTTTTGTTTCAGTATTTTGTTTCATTTTTACTATGTCTACTACCCAAACCATACGCAGATTTCCTCAATAGAGCTGAGAATATGTCATCTAGCTTGTCCAAACCAGTATCCAACCAAGGTCTATGCACTGGTTGTTATGTGTCTGCAGTTTTGATGCAGTGAGAATGTTGTTTTTGTATCTCGTTTTTGCATTCATGTAGATAGAACATATACGATAGTCAAACAAATATGTAGTTTTCTATATATAAAGGACCAAAACACACTAAACTTTATATGAATTCTTTCTGCACATATGAAAGTCCTGCACATATGAAGTTACAATAGTAACTAAAAATTTTTTTAACATCCCTGTTTTGGATTTGAAATTCTTATAAGAAAAGCCCACTAAATCAAGATAGAAATCAGGTGTTACTAAAATTAGGAGGACAGCTATGTAGTAAACATCTATGTTTTCTGAGCAGGAAATCGTATGTCTTTCAAAAGTTAAATTGCTTCCATCCTGTCTATCCTTGGGGATATTACCGTAAAGCACATAAAGTAAGGTGCTTCATAATTACAATAGGCTTCAGAGTGTGCGTTTTATTGCATTTTAGTTGTTATAAGTATTGTTTGTGAAGGTTTATATGCTGTCATAATCTTAAATTAAGCAATATATGTGCCTTTAGTCACCCAGAGTAAACCAATTTTAATAAAGAAAGTTGACTACATCCTAATAGTAAAATTAAAATAGCATTTTAAATCTTACTAGTGATTTAATAGTTAACCATTTAACATTTGTAGGGCCAGGAAAAGCTGCTTATAAGACTCACGGGCACAGAGTAAGTATATTTACTTTGAGACTGTGTGATATTTGTTATCGAGGCTGAGGACGCAAATGTTCACCTTTTTAAAACTTTCTTTACATTAACTTCTTTCTATTAGTTTCTTTTTCTTTCTTTCTTTTTTTTTTTCTTGGCATCTGGCTGTTAGAGGGATCTGAACCCAAGACCTTGGTATTATCAGCACCACACTCTAACTGATCTATTAGTTTCTTAATTTGACCTGTTTTAATTCTACTTTTTAAAAATATATAAATATTTTAAAAGATCATAGTGTTTTCCTCAAGTGATTATAGGCAAAATATATAACTGCCTTTCCTGTATAAAATAACCCTTAAGAATCTGACAACTTTTCATGTTATGTGTTAACATAGTTTAGACCATTCCTACTTGATTAGCTTTTAATATAGAAAATAAATAATAATCATAGACATAATAATTGTGTGTGTAGCCATATTTTAAGATTATGTGTTTTACAAGAGTCTTTATAACACTGCTATGTAAATGACATTCCAAAATGTGCCCTGTTGTGACCTAAATAAAAATTTAGTTGTCTTCTGTAATGAGCAGTAGCTTCTTAACTAGAAAAATGTTAAATGAATAGAATTTCCATTTGCATATTTCTTTTAAATACATACAGATTTAAAGCTTGTTTCCTGGAACATTTACTTATAGACAGAAAAGGTCTGTCAAGGTGCTGTTGGCAAAGTGTTTTCTAATCAGTAAATTCTGGGAATTAAAATATTTTCCTTTTAAAATTATGGTGAGGGGCTGGCCAGTTAGTTTAGTTGGTTAGAGCATGGTGTTACAACACCCAGGTCAAGGGTTCAGATCCCCATACCAGCCAGCCACACACACAAAAAAAGATTACGGTGAGAATTAAAATATGTAATATTTGCAAAACAGTTGGCAAATGCAAATATTCAATAAATGTTAGTTCCCTTTCCAGGAAATCTTATATACATGTGTGCTCTGTAATTGAAATTCACATGAAGTATAAAACATATTTTTAGTACAGTTGACTTAGTTAGCCATCTGTGGATTATATGGCATATTTCTATTGAAAGTTGGCTTCTCCTTTCTACTAACAGAGTGGTCACAAAATATAAACTTGTCTGTCAGCCATGAAAACTAAGCTCTCATTCAACCATAAACAAATTAGTGTAGCAAATTGAATTCTTAAGTGATGTTTTCAGTTTCATTAATATACTTTGTTATTTAATACATCCCCACTTTTTTGTTTCAGAGTGGAAGCTCAAAATGAAATGGAACAACATATTCACTGCTATGTTGCAGCTCTTGCTGCTCATACGACTTTCCTGGAACAACCCAAGAGCTTTCGCCATTCACAGTGGATAAGAGAACATAGTGAAAGACAGTCTCTTAACAGAAACAGCCTTCGTCGCCAAAATCTTAGCAGGGATTGCCACCCTCGGCAGGTCAAGCACAGTGGCTGGGTTGTGCATCAGCCCTGCCCGCGTCAGTACAATTACTAAGGATTTCAAGTTCTGTTGGTTGGTTGTTGCATATATGTGTGGATGTGCGTTTATGTACAATGAAAATGCTGTCTCTTTACAGCCAATTGATGACCAGTCACATAGTTTTATGAGTGTGTTCAGACACTATCTTGAAAACCAGATTTAATATGCTATGTATCACATAATGCCTTGCTCTTAACATTTACTTTTTTGTAAATTTTTTCAGAATATTTTTGGAGACATCAATACAATTACAGTGTTTGGTGTTTGAGATGTCTTTACATCTATTAATGTGTACATTGATTAGTCAGCATTTTAAAGACATTTCTTCCCAAGTACGAGAATAGGCATCTTTCAATTTCATTTTATTTTGTGCTACTTAATCAATCTTTTGAGCAAGCAAAAATTTATTCTCAGGGTCAGCCATACACTTTATTGACCAGTACTTGATCATCTTTTACTTATATAATGAATACATTTTTACACACTAACATGAACATTAACAGGTGATAGTCGCCATGGATATAATGGAATTATGGCTGAACTTTCTTTTGAAAGGAAACTTGATATATTTCTGTGTATATGGTTTGTTTTTCCAGATTAATCATGCAGTTCATTTTGGAATTCAGGTACATTAAGCTTTAGTGAACAGTACATTCAGTAATTCCAGTGTAACTACATGACATGGTACAGACATTATAGGAGTTATGGACAAAAGCACTTGTCTCACATGCAGAGGGATTAATTTAGACCTGTGAAATTATATTTGGAAAAATTCATGTCTATAACTAACCCATTACTCCAGTATTTAAATTGTTTCAACTCTTTCCTGCCATCTCTGCCCACTCCCCACCCCATATCAGCTGTAAATTCAGAAGTACTTGTCCAGGCACTTGAGTGACTTCATATTTATATTTGCCCATGGGAAAAGATACAGGATTTATATTTCCAGATATAGTGAAAAATCCTCTGCCATGGAGCCTTTCTTGCCAGGTAGCAAGCAAGAGTCAGGAAGATTTCTGATAGCATGTAAGTGAAGAGTGACAGGTTGGCTTCCTTGAGTTTCCATCTTTAACCACTCTGGACTCTGTTTCCTTCACCAGCAGGGGAGTAGTGATATTTACCTCCCTTACAGACTTGTTGTGAAGATTGTGTACTGATGTGAAGTGGGGCTGTCCAGAACTGAACTTTGTATGAAATTCCAAGGGCTTTTCTACTGAATCTAGTGATGGGGTGGGGCCGGTGGCAGTTTCTCTGCCACAACTGTTCTTCACAGTGTTGGTGCTAATGAGGCCAAGTGCAGGGTTCGAGTCACACGTAGGCCAGTTAACTCGACACAGAGGAAATCTACTTCATACCTCTAGCCAGTCACTTCAATTTTTAGCAGTTGTGATGGGTTTTGCTGAGCCATCCACACTCTCACTGATTTCCTCTGAAATTAAGTAAATGCATTTACAATCCAAAGTACATTCTACTGACAGAACAGTAGTGTTGCCTTCGTAATCAGATTATTTTTCCATCTACTCTGAAACCCTAATTAAATGACTACCATCTATAAGATGTTTTCAAGGAAAAAAGTAGCATATAGTTATGTGAAGTATTATTATATTTTTCAATATCCCTGTAGCAGCTTGATGCAGGAACCATGGGAGACTTCAGGGAAGAGTCGTGCCCCTTTCTCACTAGACAGGGGCAATTGGAGTTGGAAGAGGGCGAATATGTAGTTGGAGGGTGGTTTTACATTGTTCTTCCATGGCTGGGATGAAGTGCCAGGGTATCTTGTTAGAGCAAGGGTCTAGAATCCCCCTTCTCTCCTTAATTCCCCTTCCGTTTTGACTTCCCCTTTATTTGTTTTCTAATTAGGGGCCAAGTCTGTAAAGTTTTGTCAAACTGAGTTAGAAGTTGTTTTGTTACTACTGTGTTTACCAGAGTTGGGAGCTAAGGTAGAGTTTTCATGTTTTCATGAAGGTGTGTCTGTTATATGGCCATGTGTTGGTAACTTGAAAACAATCGAGCTAAATTTCTTCTGGATGTAAGCCTCTGAATACAGGGGGTCTCTTTTCCATACATTGCATGAGAGTTGTCAGTACCTCACAAGCTGCAGAAGTTCAGCCACGAGAATTTGTTTGGCAGCATGAACAGATTTGTATACAAAACTGCAATGGTCTTTTTTTACTTTTTTTTTTTCAGATTTCCTTATACCTTTAATACATTTGCATCTCTGTGAGTTATTGACTTTTTGTTTTCCTTATCTGGGCCTACTTTATAATGCTTTGTACCTGGAAAACAAAAAATTTCAGCCTTTGGGATTTTTATTCAGGGTTAGGATTACTACACCAGCTGTGATATACTGTGGTTTCTGTATCAGTCTCTAAGGTTTCTGTCTAAAATGGGCACATGTAAGAGTTGAAGAACATGGTTACATAATTTAGCTGTTCTTGGTCATTAGATGTTTGTTAGGCATTTGTATGTAAGACACAAGGCCACAGAATGATTTTGACCTTCTAAGTATTCTTTGAGACATGGTCAAAACGCATTTTATTATGAGTTGTTATTATTTTTGCTGTTGTTAATATTAGTGGTTTACAATGTGCTTTAGTGCGTATTACTTAAAAATTCAAGCAGTGAGAAATAAGACCCCTCTGAATTTAGTAGCTCCAACTGTTTCTAAACTGATAACATAGAATGTTACTTGGAAAAAGTCTGGAATATGTGGTGCACACAAGTAGTGCTTCATGAGTGAGTTTCTTAGCTTTTACAATGCACCATGTTTTCAAAGTTTGTTTTTGTTAATAAAACATTTTATAATGTATTTTATTATATCCTATGTTTATTACTTTTTCTTCCTCATCTGATTAAATTATGTGCTGCACTGTAAGTTCAAGATTAGCCATCCATTATTTATCTTTTGTGGCAATGCATTTACATGGTTGGTTGGGTGGGGAATTTTTGCAGAAGATGCAAAGTGATTAGATTTTTGACTTCCTATTGCAGGGAGCTTTTTTTTTTTTTTTTGCATTAATTTCCTGTATATTTTTCCACTTTCCATGCAAACTGTTCCTGTTTACATATGTTCTCTGTTGTATCAGTACTTTGATTCTAGTAAGAAGACAGTTTACTTAAAACTTGAGAGGGCTGTTCAGCATTGCCTGTTGTTTTTGCTTTTCTCAGATCTATATAGTACACTGGTTTATAATCCTTATGTCTTTGTTAAAATCTGAGTTTCTCTATTTCTTTTCTTCCTCAAGGAAATATATTTCCTTTATACACTTAAGGAAAAAAGAGAAAGGAAGGGTATCTCCATTATCTTCATCTTCTTTGAGTTGGAAACAAAAAAATGAAGGACTCCAACTAGAAGACAGACATTTACTTTTAAATAGATTAGTGGAAAAAAATTTAAACATTTCCAAGTATTAGTTTTTGCTTTTAGAATCAGTTAAGAGACTGCTCCTTGTACTGGGAGACACTAGTATATGTTTGTAATGTTACCTTAAAGTTTTGTCTTTTTATTATATATGGCCCATTAATACTGGTTAAACTCTTTTAAAAGTTGGGCTTCTATCATGGTTTCACTGCTGTCAGCTATGCTGATGTATTATAAATGGCATCCCTATCTACTTATTTTAATACTTAAAATGTTATATTAAAAAATGCTTTATTTAGAAAACCTACATAATACCATGGTGTCAGCCTTGCCGTGTACCAATTTCACTTGAAATTTGACACCAATTAAAGTGGTTTAGGGAGGAGAAAGAGGTACTTTACAGAATACAGATAAGGATGTCCTATTTGCAACAGTATCCCTTATGTGGGAGGAGAAGTTACTACTCAGAGGAAGGCAGCTTGCGTGGATAATGTATATCATTGAGAATTTTCCTTATGACATTCTTAAAACTTGTACAATTGTTAAATGCCAGTTTTGCTCTGTATTTGACTGAAGTTTTAGTGTTTGTTTTTTAGGTGGACTTCTAATAAACCAAACCAGTACTTGGGGAGGTTGGATGTATGTGTGTTTTCAGACTTGGAGTGTATGAGTGATTTTGCTTGCTTTTTGGTTGTGCTTTCCTCTAGAGGTTTTGAACTTTAACCAATAATTGTGTGTTTTACTTTTTAAAAGTGGCTTTGTTTTTTTCTCAAGTTGTGAATACATTAGCTTTTCAGGGGCAGGGCATGAGTTACGGAGACTGAAGAGTATTGTAGATTGTACTGTGTGCCTTAATGTGTTTCTGGACACAAATTTTTTTTCATCAACTTGAAAACTCAAAAGGGACATTTGGTTAGGTTATATACTGTACATCAATCTATGCATAAATGGCAGCTTGTTTTCTTGAGCCACTGTCTAAATTTTTTTTGTTTTTATACAAATTTTTTATACTGATTGGTTCAGAGATGGTCAGTTTTGTACACAGACTGAACAATACAGCACTTTGCCAAAAATAAGTGTAGCATTGCTTAAACATTGTGTATTAACACCAGTGCTTTGTAATTGGGTTCAGTGGTGCATTCTGCACTACATGTTTTTAATCTTTCAGTAAATAAAATGTCCTTTAACTTCACACTGGTCAGAATCTTTTATCTTTTTTGATTATCGGTCTTAAAACTAGGTACAACTTATTTAAAATACTATTTAGTTTTGCTTGTCTAAAAGATGTGTTTAACATGTACTTTAAATACTATTTTTAAAGTTTGTGTAAAATTAGTATATTAAGATTTTTCACCTAAAATGAGTAATCATTTAAGTAAACAGGAATTTGATGCCCAACCAATCTGTTTTAAAAGAACCAAATATATAATTTAATACACTGGTTTCTTGCCTTTTTAAAACTAGCTTGGTGAATTCTGAATGGATCTTTTCCCAGATAAAAAGTTTCTACAGTTGTGTAGAAACGTTTTAGAACAATATGGCCTTTCCCAGTGCCATTAATGCCCACTATTGTGGAACTCTAGTTCAAACAGGCCAGTAAACATTCAGAACACTTGTACAGGAAGCCCAAAGAATAACTCCCATGTGAATAAATCACTGAGGAAGATCAGCAATCTAGAACCGTAGCCTATCACAAGACAGATTTTTATCCTCTCTGAGTCTCTCAACCGAGATGAAAAGATTGGGGGCAGGGTTAAGGAGGAGTCACCCAAAGAGAAAATAAGGTCCTGAAAGTAGACTAGGGAAGGAGCAGGTTGAAATGAAAGTGCCTTCTCTGGAATGGAAGGTGAATGGTTGTTGCTGAAAAGAGTGTTTACCAGGCCCACTTAAAAGGTGACAAGAGTGTCCAAGGAATCTAGCATGTCTCAAGGGCAGCAACTGCATGGAGTCAAAAAGTGACAATTCAAAAGTGAAGGTGGCCTATGAGGATGGCCATGTCAAGGTTTCACATTTTGATATATGGCCTAAGATTATCTAGCTCCTTTGCTTTGAATTTGCACAGGCCACAAGGTTATTCATTGCAGCACTGTCAGCTGTAAATGAGGAATACTGGAAACAACCTAAATGCTTATACATAGGAGAATGGTTGAAAATATTATAGCACATCCACAAAATGGAGGTCTGTGTAGCTTTTAAAAAAATGAGGGAGATCTTTATGAACTGGCAGTAATTTCTGAAACATACTTCTAAGTGAAAAAACAAAGTGCAAAGAGTATCTACAGTAAGCTATGCTTCATGTAAGAAAGAAGGGAATGTAAGAAAACACATGTACCAGCTCATTGTCCAAAAGAAATTTAGGAAGAATAAACCAGAAATGAAAAAGAATAGTCATTTACTGAGGGTAGGTGAAAAGGGCTGGAAAGGAGAGGAATTGAACCAGGTGAGTGGGATGAGGAGGTAGCAATGTTTCTGAGAACCCCTTTTTGTATAGCTTTGGCTTTTAGAACTATAGTAATGCTTCCAGCAATTCCCGTCATACTAGTCACCTTTCAAGTACTCAACAGCTGTATGTGGCTAGTGACTACCGTACTGGACAGTGCAGATAGAGAACAATTCCATCATCCTGGAAGTTCTAGTGAACAATTTTCTTTAGACCTATCAACAGCTCCAGAGACCCTAATTGGCAGACTTGGACCACTACTTGGCTGTCTAGCTTTTTCTCCTACTTTACCTGCTTCAAGTTATTAGAAACATTCAGGCTGTTACCCTCTTTCTTCATGGTTGCGCTCCTTCCTCTCCAGCCTGGACTCCATGTTGCACCATTTTGGCCATTCTCATGGTAGCATGCTAAACTCTGAATCTTTCATCTTTCTAACATGTGCCTGCTCTGCTAACTCCAACCTCAAGTCAATCTGAATGCAGTATTTGATTCGAGGTTTGAGCTGCTTAAAAGCTACTGGAAGAAATCCACACTTGTGGGGATCAGGGCCACGAGACACATAGGGTCTACAAGCTCATGTGCCACCATTTGGCAGTCCTTTTGTGTGCAACTGGTTAACTCTATACAACTCCCCTTCTCTACTCTCTTCACGAATCCTACCACAGTGCTTTAATATGCAAGCAAGTCACCTGGGAGATCTTATTAAAATCGCAGATTATAATTCAGTAGGTCTGGTGTGGGGCCAGAGAGTCTGTATTTCTAACAAGCTCCCAGGTGATGCCCACACTTTCAACAGCAAAGCCCTAACCCAGTGGTTCTCAAACTCCATTGTGCATCATCATTACCTGGAGGACTTGATAAAACTTACATTGCTGGGCCCCACCTCCAGTTTCTAATTGAGTCAATCTGGGGTGGGGCCTGAGAATGTGCATTTCTAACAAGTTCTCAGGTGATGCTGCCACTACTAGTGCAGGGAACGCACTTTGAGATCACTGCAGTAGCCCATTGCTGGCCTTATCTCTGTCTTCTATTTCACAGAGGCAATTGAGACTAGTAGGTGAGAAGTTCTGTGTGGGTTCCTGCGGCACCTGCTCTTCTCTTACTGCAGCAGTCATCACACTACTGAAGGATGTTACTAAGAAGAATACATTTGTAATTAAGAAAAACATCAAGTAAAACGTATTTTTTTGTGCACATTCTGCATCCATTTCCCTTCTAATAATAGCAACCCAATTTTCTTCTAGGGGTCTATTTCTCCCTCCCTGACCTACATTAGTTTTATATGGTATTAACTGTTTCCAGCTCCAGGAGTGGGCACATAAATCAGGCCTGGCCAGATACACGTTCCCCCTGCCTCAAGGATAGTTCAGGGATAGGAATGTGCCCTATCAAAGCTAACGAGATGCATTGAGGCTCTTCCTGGGACTGCGAAGAGAGACTGAGACTCATTTCCACTTGACTTAGTCAAGGAACAAGTGCACCTAGAACTATGAGTGTGCAGCAATTATCTTGACCCCCAAGCAGGGATGCTGTCAAAGATAGAGCCCATGTGCAAGGAGTGAAGGAGAGACAACTTGCCCGAGTGACCTTGATTGAGCTCTACCCTTGGACTATTATGTGAGCTAAAATTTCCTTTTGCTCAAGCTAGTTTGGTTTGGGTTTCTGTCATTTGTGAGTAGGCTGTTCGTATGTTCCCTTGGCTTCCAGAAGAGCAATTAAAGAGCTTTTCTTGTAGCCTCATGGAGGACGATTAAACTGATTGGTATGAGAGCCAGAGAGGAGGAAGGTAAGTGGGGAGACCGGAGCCAGTGGGCGGCTGAGACTATGAACAGAGATAGGAATCCAAGGCTTTCATTTCTACATAGGCTCAACCCCTGTTGAGCATAGACCCTGAATGAGAGGCTGCTGTGGGAGGCTCACAGAGGCTGGTCAGAATGCAACACAGCCTCATGAGCAGTGTGCAGCAGCAACACTGGCAGTAGCAGCAATGGCAGCCACACTGGATTCGAGCCCCAGTCCTCCCCTTGGTTTCTGGTACCATATACTAGGATTCTCATAGGACCCTGGGAGGGGGATGCACAGGGACTCCAGTAATTGCTGTAGTGATTAGACCGTGAGGGCTTTGCCCTCATGAATAGGATTAATGCCCTTATAAAAGAGGCTTCAGAGAACCACCTGGCCCTTTTTCCCCCTTCCACCATGTGAGGACACAGCAAGAGGCACCATCTTTAAAGCAGAGACTTCACCAGACACCAAATGTGTCAGTGCCTTGATTTTTGACTTCGCAGCTTCCAGAACTGTGAAAAATAAATTTCTATTATTTCTAAATTACCTAGTGTAAGGTATTTTCTTATAGTAGCAGGAATGGACTAAGACACCTGGTTAGGATCTTGAAATCTGTGATCTAAGACCCTACCCTGAGTTCTCTCCAGATGGTGCTGTTATGTAGTTATTAAATATATGTCTGTGCGTATACACTGTTATTACCATTATACAGTGTTTATATTTATCTAACTGTTTGAGCATCCATCTCTACCTTTTAAAGTTTTTATCTGGAGACCTGTGAGGAAAATGGAGACAGAATGGTCAGGCTCCCTCACCCCATATCTGGCTGAGCAAGACTCAGCGTGTCTATTGTACATACGTCATGTAAAAGTGGTATAACTGCGCATGTGCACCCATGTGTTCCTTGGTTATCTGACTCTAGTATAGAAGACAATGGCTCTGATCCACTGGGGGCTGAGCTTGTATCCGAATAAAGCATGTCAACCTTGCCAGTGGCTCCCAGAATCTTTTTCTATGTAGCTTACAACCTGCATATGAGGGGTCTGTGACCCAGTCTGCACAGGACGGGTTTGAAGGGTCTGTGACCCAGCCCGACAAGACCACATCCTCTAAGAACAGCACCTTAATATGATGTGTGACCTACCAAAGTAAATAGACTGTAGGAAATTCTATGTAAAGAAAAAAAAGAAAAAGAAAAAAAAAGACACACCCACAGATCCTGCCTGAATCAGCTTCACTTTCACTTTAATTTAGAATTTTAGGCCCTAAAAAGGACAGGAGGGTTCTCTTGCTGCATTATTACTTGGAACATTCTGTAGATGCAGAACGCTGGCCTGTGGGAACCAGGACAGGACTGTTCAGTGCCACTAGAGGGTCTCAGTGTGGCTTGGGTGAGGTGGATACTCACTCTGGAGGGCTTACAGGATCCTCTCTGTCCCTGGGATAGACTAAGTATTACTGAAAGCAGGCTATACAAGGCTACGAATTCCTGGTCTCTCTGAAAATGACAGCATATCATGGGAAGTGCACAAAATGAATGACATTCCAAAGTGTTTGTCTGACTTCTTACTTGAGAATAAACAACCAGTAATTATGGGGTACATTCAAATAAGAAGTGAAGTAATAGCCATTTAAAAATGCTTTTATTCAAATAATTACACTAGTGCATGAAGTGGGGTAGTATTTTATTTCTGAGTTCTTTAAACTGGAAATAACATGTATTTGAAGGAACAGTTCTAAAAGAGGTGAGAAATTTACTTTCTCTCTAACATGAATAATACTTAATTTTTTCAAGTTTTTTTTTTTTTTTTTTTTGCTGTTGAATGATTTGGCCAAAGAGAATGTGTCTCAAAGTTGCTTCAACACACTCTGGCCTAAAGGATTTAAAAGAAATTTAACACTTAGTTAAAATTAGTGTCATATCCAACTGTAAGGAATAAAAAGGGAAATGAACTTTATCAGTTGGT